TTATGGAATTGTAGAGTAAGCTAAAAAAATTTTTGAAAGAAAAAGTGAGTATATTACGAACCTTGAACTAAACCAAGTGTAAATTTTTCATAAGATTTTAAAGTAGTCAGGAGAAAAAAATAGTTAAAACCGCTATTAGATTGTAGAATTTTGTGAAACTTACTTCATGGCCTGCCTGTATAATGGCTCTAAAATTGTTAATCAAATTAAAATTGACATATTACGTAAGTATTCTTCGTGAAGTAAAAGTGAAACTAAAAGGATTGTATGCAGAAGTCTCTACGACGTAGAAACTGAATTATATTACTCAAAGTATCTAACGCTGGTCACCATAATTAGTCGTAGTGCTTAAAGTAGTATGTAATCAAAACAAAATCAAAATAGATGAATCACTATTACAAGTTATGTTCTTGAGATGAAGTGCCATTGAATCATTTAGCTCTTTAAACAGACTCGTTTTTTTGGAATGCATAACAGATATTTTTAAAAAAAGGAATTTGTTTGAATTATGCACTAATGTATTAGTAACTTTTATATGATTAAAAAAATTAACATGTGGAAATAATTACTCAAAATAAAAATTTAATTTACTTCAAGTAGTTAAAAAATTACGATTAGAAGCACAATTTGTCAAGAATGCATTTAATATTTTTGTAAGCTGTGACCTTGAAATCAGAACAAATCCAAATAAAGATAGGCCTTATATAGCCCTTCGTTTCTTTTGATGGGCGAATGTCTTGTCCAAGTTTCTTCTTGATCACTGCATTTGTGGGCATTTTCTTTGCAATCAACGGATGGGCTAGTTTTCATCTACACTTTGCAAGTAAAATACACCATTGCATTGATAGTATCTCGAAGGCTGTGAAATTTTGCAAATCCAACTCCCAAAATCTAACGATAGACAGTCTCATCGCATTAGCTATCCTACGTGGTTTGTGCTGAATAGTACTAATTTACTATTTGTAGATTCTTTAAGCGATATCTGTTCATCATACCAGTTGACAGGACGTCTTATGAATAAAGTCTGTTACTTGTCAAACTCTATAGGTCAATATTTCACGTCTATGAGCCAACATAAATCGTCCCACAAACTTGCTTTCTTATTTAAATTAAAATGGTACATTCATCCATTTTTGGAAGTCGATGCATATGGTAGATCTAAATCGGAAAGTAAGTTTGAATACTTGTTTATTAGTTCTGTCTAGATATATCGATGCAAGAGTATGAAAATTGTATTTTTGAAATGGCTAATCACCTAAATCAAAAGTGCAATATATCTGACTTCTGTGCGAATCAATTTTCCAAGGAACGTTACAATGGATCAAATCTGTTAAAACAAGCCTTTTACTACTTGGCAACTCGGAGTGTAAGAATTGTTTCGTCAAATGATATTATTATTTTCTGGGAAACTATAGACTTCATGCCAGTCAAAGGAGGTCAGTTCAGTCAATCTCGCTTACAAAATCGGAACACTGAGTCAATTGTTGATGTTAGAATTTCCGAATTATTATTCGGTAAGGAACTTCTCAACTAGGTATCGACAACACCTTTTAGAGCAGAGTAATTTCATTTTTAATTAAATATATTTGATTAAAATTTTGCCAGTAACATTATTATTTCCTGTTAAGTTGTTTATGGTGGGCTTGGTGGCTACTTGCAGATGGCACATCCAGTAATGATGGATGAAATCATGTCGTGGCAAGACGAATCTGGTTGCTTCAAAATCGTAAAGAAAAATGAACCCGTACACTCTGATCTCATTCACTTTGAACGGGAAGTACAATTGAAAGGTATGTCTCTATCGACAAATCGTTTAATCAATTGCTTAAATAGTCCATAGATTTGCTTCTAATTGGGATCCATTGGATTTTTTTTGTTTAGCCAACATTTCGATGATTCCAACTTTTCCCATATTCAATCGTGTGCCACAATATTAATCTTTTTTTCAAATTTTGGTGCGCATTAGGAATCTTATCTTTTTTTCTGATAAAGATTATCTTTCCGTTTCTAATACAAAAAGTGGAATATATGGAATTCCATTGATGCATTCTTAATTTTTCATTTCAAGAATCGAGTCTCGTTTTGTTTTCGTTGATTTATAGACGGATGTCTTCTTCGACTCACTTCAATGGCAGCAGCTGCTCTAGCAATGCATATTGGACGTTTCTCAATAGGTGAAGTTTACAAACCGGATTTCCATTACATTCTCCACATGGAGAATACACTTGCCCAAAATAAGTACGTTTCAGAATCGCTATTACCTGTTTAATTATGTTTGAAATTGTCATAGCAGTTTTAGCTATCTCTTTATATACACATATCGTGCAAATTAGAATTAACTTTTGATGGACTGGATTGAAGAGCATGTCCTAGACCCTTCTAACAATTTATTGCCACTTGTTGAGTTAACCAATTTACAGCTTTTTCGACTGAATCACCCTCTCCTCAAAACTTTGATGGAATATCATTTAATTGGCATAATAATTGGCCTTCCCATACAGTTGGATTTCACTATTCTGTGAAATATGCAAATAGGTTTCATTTTAAATTCTGAAAACATAGAGGATTTCTTCAATTGTATTTTTTAATTAATTTATGTAAGATATTAACGTCTAAAATGCATTTTGGTAAAAGTCGTATTTGATTACTTCTTTTTTGAGACTTTTTTGAATCTAACCCACAAATCAGATAAAATTAATTAATTTATTTATATCAAATGGCAGGCGTTTTGATAGTTATCATTAGCCCTTTAGTTGACTTCCGACTTCACAGAGGGGAAGGAACACCAAAGTGAAAAAGGTCGAAAGGGGGGGTGGGAACAGAAGAGTGTTTCAAAGATGTAAAAGAGACAGACACAAAGGTAGAGAAAAGGGTGGGGTGAGTACTATGGAAGTGGTGGAATATTACATACAGTGGGGTGATGGTAGTTTGAAGTCAGAAGTCAACTACCGATTGATAGACATTTTTGCCGTATAAATATACGTTGCCCATGGTGCACCACGTTGAGATAAGTATATCGCGCACCCCATATCGGATAAAATATTTTAACTGCTATGGGATTAATCTTAGTCTAGAGCTGAAAGCTGCTCTCAATCTGATGGACCTGAAG